AGTGTTTAATCACATTTTGAAACCACATTCTGAAGATCGTGGGAAATTGGAGGATATGTTGCAAGGAGAAAAACAGGGCTGTAAAGATAATATGGTCTCGAAGCCCAAAGAGGCCCATTATTCAGAAAATACAGTTTGCGAGCAGACTAAGGACAGGGCATGCTTTGATTTGGTTGCTGTGCCTGGACCCTGACCCCCTCTGGGAGTTTGCTTCAGTTTTGACCATTCTCTGGTCCCTGGAGCAGGTTGAGATGTTTTTAACACCATACAAGATTAGCCACCTTGGTATTCCACTTCAAGTTCCTGGAGGCAGACACACAGGCTGCAGACCCTAGCACCCCCCTTACCCTGCCTCATTGCTCATGGCTATTTCCCCTTACCCCTGTACAATCATCCAGCTGGCAGAAGAAGGGGAGGTGCAGTTTTTTCCCCAGGACATGAAGCCCACTAACTCACTCCATATTGTCAGCAATATTAAATAAATGCTGCTCATTTGTGTGTTTTTTAAGTGGCTTCATACATTCCTTACTTGAAGAGCAGTACAGTTCTTTGCATCTGGGCTCTGTCTTTGGGGACTAACTCTATTTAACAACAGTCCTTATTTAGTTCATGAGCGGATACTCCTTAGAAAACCACGACCCCCACGCCTCTGTCATAATTGGTTCTGGGCATGGGCTGAAAAGGTTGTTCATTAGTATTTAGTAATCAACAGAACATGCTATTTTTGGAATCCAGCCACAACTTAGTGTAGAGGTTAACAGCATAGTCTTGGTTCAACTCCTATATCAGCACCTACCAGCAGTGTGATGTTGGGGAAAATCAGTAAATCTCTCTGTACCTGTGTTTCTTCATCTTTAAGAAGGAGATAGTTTTTTTTAAAAAAGGAGATGATAATAATATACACTTCATAGAGTTATTGTGGGGATTAAATACATGAATAATTGTGTCATTCTTTAATAACAATGCCAGTTGTATAGTAAGTGCTGCATGCCAGTTATTATTCAGTAGGCCTGGAGTGGGGTCCAGGTAACTGACTTTTTTATCTCCATAGTCGTTTAACCTTATTCTCTGTTAAAGACTTGGGAGTAAGTGCTGCATGCCAGTTATTATTCAGTAGGCGCGGAGTGGGGTCCAGGTAACTGACTTTTATCTCCATAGTCATTTAACCTTATTCTCTGTTAAAGACTTGGGGTTTTTTTCTGATTATCTTCTTGGCAAAATTTCAATGCCTTATAAACTACTTCCTTGAAAATAAATAAACTATATTTCATCATAACTCTCTGACTTACGTTAAGACAGACCACATCTGTGTCTATTAGTGTGTGTGTGTGTGTGTGTATGAGAGTGTGTGTGTATGTGTGTGTGTTTGTGGTTATAGAAATATCTGTTCTTTTGTGACAGGTCCCAGGCATTTAGTATGATTTTTTTTCTTCTCAAATACCATCACTTACTTGCATTTTCTTTTCTCTATTCCATCTGCCGAACAGAAGGAGGATTCACTACTTGCCTCCTTCTTGTTATTGTTGAAGCTTTATAGTAATAACTAGAGGCCCAGTGCACAGAATTTGGGCACTCGGGGTGGGGGTCCCTCAGCCCGGATTGTGAGGAGGTGCAGGCCAGGCAAGGGATCTCACCGGTGCAGGATTGGAGCTGGGGAGGGACGTAGGAAGTTGGCCAGCTGGAGAGGGACCATGGGAGGGCTCCAGGGCGTGTCTGGCCTGTCTCACTCAGTCCCAATCGGCTGGACCCCAGCAGCAAGCTAACCTACCGGTCAGAGCATCTGCTCCCTGGTGGTCAATGCACATCATAGCGACTGGTCGACCAGTTGACTATTTGCCCCCTGGTGGTCAGTGCATGTCATAGCAAGTGGTTGAGCAGCCTTAGCATATCATTAGCATATTAGGCTTTGATTGGTTGACTGGCTGACCGGACAACTGGACACAGCATATTAGGCTTTTATTATATAGGATTATCCCTCTTACCCATGGGGAATACATTTCAGGATCCCCATTGAACGCCTTGAAACCACAGAGAGTACCAAATCCTATATATAGTCTGTTTTTTCCTATACATACATACATACCTATGATAAAGTTTAATTTATAAATTAGGCACAGAAGAGATTAACAATAATAAG